TCCCTCCCTCCCTCTCTCTCTCTCTCTCTCTCTCTCTTTCCCTCTCTCCCAGCAAGGTGGACCGTGCATTCCTTCGTCCTTACGCACAGTCACCAGGACTCCTCTGCAGGAGGCCCCCCGCCAAACCACCACCGACTTCTAATTAACAAATCAGAAGTTGCAGTCTATAGCAGTGGTTGCAAGTAAAACGGACATTTTCCGCCGCTAAAAAGTTTCACCCTGTTCGCCACAGTCCGCTGTCCAGTTTCAATTCTACCGGGGCCAAAACTGGTGCATGGTGCATAAAACCACGTCGACACTGACGCCTCGCTTCAGCCGTGTCCTTTCGATATCATTTCGACAAATATCACAAATATCAGAACAGTTAATGGGCGTGGCAACTGCGAAAATGCACCCAGAAAACCATTTCATTGAAACAAAGGATTTCCTTGAAATGAACCTCCTTGAATCAAGAAAATTTCTCTTACATTAGCAAACCGATTTTTCCTTTGTTTAAGGAAAGAAAGAAGCCTTGAATTAAAGAAAACTCAAGCTGAAGGAGTTAACACATTTCATTGTTAATGCCTATGATTTAACATGGGGGCGTGACCACATAGTCGTCATGCCGCAAGGAAGGTTTTAAACAAAGATAGTTCATTTGAAACTAAGATAATATACCTTCAATACGATTTTTCAAGGCAACGATTTCCTTGGTGCACCCAGACCCGTTTTCGGTCCCTGTCTGCGCGATGCGCTACTGATCAAAACAAAGTCGAGCATTGACGCTTCCCTCCTGCCAACCTACACGCTGCCAGCGAGAAAAAAACCCGTTGCACGGGGCGAGCCGGTGCGCCATCTCGCGGTGGACGTCCACACGTGATCGGACGAGAGCGGGGCGGGGCGGGGCGGGGCGAGGCGGGGCGGAGGCGCGGCCGATGTCCAGTGCCCAGCCACCTGGCTCAAAAATGTTTCATCCGCGTATACCTGCATTCTCAGCAGCACTATGACGGCACTACACGCTTAAAGTGACTGCTTGGTTTCCAAGCAAATGTGGTAATAATTCCCAAGTACTTTTTGCCCGTTTTTGCCTGAAAATTACCACATTAGCTATCCAAGCGAACAGTTTTTCTTGAGAATTACCATATGTGCTTGAAAACTTATAGCCTGCACACTTATAGCATCTAAACTGAAAACGCAAGTGTGTGAATGTCACACACTTGTAGGTGTATGACTACCCATTTGTACACTTGAATTGTGAATCGTCCTTTGAATGCACCCACTTGTGTTGCTTCCGTTGTACGAATGGCGTTCTAGTTCTCATACCTTCAAATGTGCGACATTCACACATTTAGATTTCCGGTGTAAAGCACACTGGGGATTTGGGGGGGGGGGAGTATACTTTTCCCACGGCGGTTAAGACTACTCTGAATCGCATATGGGCAGCGGCGTAAAAAAGCGATATTTTGATGATATAGGGATATGTATGTATTGTGAAGACTGGCTCATCCAATCCATCCTCACCCAATGATATGGGCCCGATCAAAAATGGGCGTAAAGTAAGATCAAACCACCAGTGATGATACACTATCTGCGAACAGGCGGCGGTCGCCGATATTCCTCCGCATTGTTTCCACAAATTAGGGCTCTTGATAATGATCTGATCTGGAATGCGAGCGGCAGGGCACACCACTAGACCGGACCGCACGCACACACGCAGACACACACACACTCGGACACGCACACACGAACGAGCGACGTCTTTTGTTGCTTGCCTCTTCTCTCTCCGTTTTGGCCGATCGCCTCTCGCTCCCTTCCTCTCTCTCTCTCTCTGCCGCTCACTCTCTCAGTGTCAGTGTCGTCCTCCTCCAATTGCTGTATTATTTCCACAAACCGGTTCGGTCGCCGTAAACAGCATGTGATTATAGAGTTGCCGCTCGCACCGCCGGGCTATTGGCCTAGGAGCCGCGGCGCTATAGCGCTGCCGACACCGGAACAGAGTGTTTTCTAGGGCAAGCGCGCCAGCACGTGAAAACTGTTTTCGTCTTAGAGATTGTTCAGGTACTACGTGCTCTAGGTGGTGGTGGTAAACCCAAGAGTCATGTCCCCCCGCCCGCCCCCTCCCCCTACAATAAACAATTATAGATGTCTTGCAGCGGACAACAAAATTGACCCTTGTCATCTGGCAAATTTGAAACGTCCCACGCGGGTTTGTTATTTTTCAGTAAGCCATTTTAAAGTGCCCTGATGTGACACCTATGCGGACGTGGAGAGAATGGATTAAATACACTGCAGCGAAAAGAAGTGTATCCCCGTCCCTCCTTTTTTGCATACAGTCCGTCCGAATGTCTTGCTTCTCTCTCTGTCCGTCCGCCTGCACCGAGCCATGCGGCGCGAATCGCACCTAGCCGGCAGGTAGTAGCCGCCAAGCGATTGCAATTAGCCTCCCCCCGTGCCGCTCCACTACTTCCACCCCCCCGCGGTGCGGTAAACGACCCGATGGATCCCTTCCCTTTCGCCCGGGCACCCGCACACGGAAAAAAATGAACTGTAGCTTAAAAAATCTAATAATTTTAGCTAAGATAGTTGTTTAAAAAAATAGTTCATATCAGTTGTCTGCTAGAAAAATAGAACTAACTAGCGATAACGGCTAATATCCAAGCACTTTTAACTATTATTAGCTAAGAAGATAATACTCTGATGTGAGATTAGGCAAAATTAACAAAAAATGCACATGCTACGTTAGCCACTTTAGCTGCACAATGCTACAAGAAGAAAAGAAATCACTGATCACTTTTCTAAAAGCTG